AAACAGAAGAAAAATAAATAAAACCTTTTTGTGGCTTACCATAGGAAGGGATTCATAAATTAGGCTTAAAATTCCTTTAAAAAAACAAATTTCTAAAATGAGATAGACAGGGTACGTGAGTGTCTTTGTTTGTATCGTGGTATCAACTAGGTTTTATTCTTTTATTAATTATTTTGTGGCCATCCACTAAAATATAGTTTTTGTTCGTGTGTTTGGAGGCAAACAATGAGGAGCATCATTTCCAAGTTATGTGGGATGGTGTACTCTAATAAGCATATATAATCACGAGAAGCTTGACGCATGACATGTTTGGGTATCTAATGATGCTACCAAGTGATGACCCAACTACGGGAGGGGACAAAAGCTGTATACTTAAGAAAATGAGGACTAGGACTGCTACTGCGGTGAGGTTATCCATTCTAATTAAGGACTCACTATATCTATATATATGAGGAAGGTTTTATTTTATTTTATAGTATAGTATATTATGGAGTACTGGTTTATTTAAATTTAATTTATCCTGCATGCAATTTTAGTAGTTGGCAACCAACCTAGCCTTCTTGATAAATGTAGTCTAATGGAATGTGAGCCGTACAATATTGCTAAGGAATCTTATTGGATCGATCAAGGCCTTCCACCTCAATACAAGGATGATACCTTACCACTTTTAGCTGCATTTAGGTGTCAGTGCATGTGCTAAATAAATCACAGGGTTGTCACCACATTTCTTTCTTCCTTTTTTTATTTTTCAACTCAGAGGTGTCGCCACCTGTAGTACAGTCAATATCATACAGATTCTATATGACATAACCAACCTGCCAGGCGTGAAGTGTTCTCACTCTCTCTATTTGAAGTTTTTAACCTCCGGAACTGGTAGATTGAATTACGTAACATGTCCATATTCTAGTAATTAAAAAAAATGTTCATATCACAATATTTAAATCATTAGATTTAATGCATGATAAGTAATCATAATAACAACAACTGGTAATTATTTTATTTTTCCCATCTAATATAAAATTGTTATAAAAGGAAGTAAGGAAGGAAGGTTTTTAATTAGGTGCTGTGGTGTTACCGTACGTTCAGATTTTGAAAGATGATAAGCAAGGCCACGAAGCTTAACGAGATATTAATGGGTTTTGGCGTGTGGGGCTTCTTAATTATTCGAACATTTAGTCACAAAAAGCTATAAAGGACAAGAATGAAAGAGGCAAATCATGATAAATGGAAGAACTATGTGTATGGGAAAGGCTAATTCGAGGGAGAAGGGGGTGGGTCGAGAATTGCAAAGAAACCAACAACCTGCAATCAAATCCATGTTTCTAAAGTACTAAACATGGAACGAATTTTCTTCCATGGAGATCACCAAACTTACAGTTGGGAAACAACTCATTGGAGCACTAAAAAACCCGACCCCGACCGGCCCCTCACATCTCCTTAATGTCTTTTTAACATTGACCAATACTTGTATGCTCCCCTATCATTTCACAATTTATATCGTATCAAAATTGTGCCTCACCAGCACAACATGTGCCTGCCCATACATATCATCATCCTTTCGATCCAGGCAACAATTAGATGTGGCCATCTTTTTTTTGGTTGCCGATCGTATTAGTTAGGTTTAGTTTCCACGTTTGTCACTTTTGCTTTTCTTTAATCCAAAGAAACGAATGATTCGAAGACTTCCATTCCAAGGTTTGAATCAGGAATTAAGTAGTCCCTTAAAAGACAACAATAGAAGCTGAATTTTAAAGCAAGAATATTTATTGTTTTGTTTTACCAATCACAAAACCTTGAAGGACATTGGAAATATGGCTCTCTCATTTGATAGGAAAAGCCTTTTATTATGAGTGGACTTGGGCCCAAGAGCTTCATTAGGCCTTCTATAATTTATGTTAATTGCGAATTAAACCCCCTCAATTTTACAGTAATTTTTTTTTTTTTTTTTTTGTAATTTATTACTGTAACAAAACAAACCTGCTAGAACTATGGATGAAAAAAATGGGAGTTACATTTTATTTATTTAAAAAAAGACATCAATTGGTTAGGTCGGTGGCCCACTTGGGATTTTGGTCAGTCATACAGATTAGGAGGACGATGCATGACATGTTATGAACAGAACCCTGACATTATTGAGTGGAAATTTGCAGTGTGAACGGCAAATGATTAATTTGGACTTTCTTTATGCAATTCATAAAATGGTAATCACATTGACAAAAGGAACAATGCATAAAGCAGTTTTTGCGTTCCAATTCAAATTCTGTCTTTCCTCTTTCTTACATCCAATCAGTAGCAAATATTTCAGAACTTGCCACTATAAACTCGTACAATACAATACAATACAAAAAATCACAGTAATTAAACGAGTATGGTAATAGGATGAGGGATTCTGGTCTCGATTGAAATGAGTAGTAGTGCGTGTACTTAGAATTTGTTCATAGGGGAAGTTTCTTGTTAGAGTAAATACTTAATCTCGTCAATGAGAATTGATGAAGATAAAAAGTTTGTGATTTTTACGTTTTGGTTATTTTATTCTCTTAGACTAATATTTTTATTCCTTCTCTCCTCTATTATTTAAAACGATAGCCAGCCCTTAATTCATTCTCAAAATAAATAATACAGTAGCCCTTACATCTTATGTTATTGCAGTGAGTAAATTAATTTATTTCCATGCTACTACTAGTAGATTTTGTTGATATATATTATTGAACGATAAAAATATTTTAAAATCAATTTATGCTTTAATTGATATTAATTTTTTTTCTAAATAATTTTTTAGAATCCATTATATAATGCATTTTAATAAAATTTCTCTATATATTCACTTCAAAATTTAAATTAAAAAAAAAAAAAACCAAAATTCTTTATCTATCATGTCAATCCTATGAGATTGGTGTGTATGTGTTAAAGAAAACAAAAACACACACCTACACACACACAAATTAACTAAGCACACAGAAAGAGCATTGTTCATCATAACTAGTGGGAAAAAGGGACAAAAGCCATTCAAATGATGCACGGTCGACTTCATCCCTCCAAACCTACCAATATTTCCCTTCCATTTTGTGTCAGTCTTTCTCCTCTGAATCTTTCTGTCCAGGTTAACTGACCGTGCCAGTGATGATGGCCAAGTAAATAAACTGACGAACAGAGGGGGAAAAGAGAAGAAAGAACCAATCCAATTCTGCCTGATCCCAGTGGTCCTGAACCTCTAGGGGACATGGAAAGATACCCCATTATTCAGCTAATGAGAATATGTCCAAAATTAGTCCAATACAAGTCAATAACCAATGCAATTGCCAGTTGCCACAGCCAGCCTCCCAAAATAATTAGTGTATTTGTACAAACAGCAAAAAACCCAAAACACCAGTTATGCCTCACATGTTTGCGTCACCTTTTTTGGGGCACCGCTCACAAGGAAACAAGAAGAGAAATATGACAATTACTGATCAGCGTTATCCATAACAGGCTTTCTCAGCATAACTTTTGTCGTAAATTTGGTCATAATCATAAATGGTAGAGTTGACTGGTCTAACATTTCACAGGCACTCAGCTTCTCGGTCGGTCCGTGAAGCTTGAAGGTACATAGGTGAACAACCACATAGCCTAGCTAGGGTGCCGTTCAATAAACCTGCACCAGCCACAAAATGGTCAACAAGTCCATGCGTCCTGGCACAATGGCCATGGTTGTTTTTGGCCATTTATTTCAAAACTTAAATTGGGGATGATGATGCACGGAAACTTTAAATAATTGCCTCTTTAAGTCTTCAACAGCACAGTAGAATAAGAGAAATTCCCTGGCTATAATCTTATCATCTGCAATCCTAATCTTGTAAGATGGTGATATGTAAACTTGCCCACGACATAGAAAATGACATGGTTGTTGTTCTTGTACACTTAAAAAGTCTTATAACTCTGACGTTTCATGTCGATCGGAGTAGTGCTCTAGTGTAGGTGGACTTCTATAGCCTGTACATAAAAAGTGTTGTGCAATCAATTCTCAAAACAAATTCTAACGTCTGTTCATCTTTGTAAGCCCTTTTCGGGCCAATGGAGCATTGGCCCATGCCAATCTCACTACCCTCAATGATTGTCCTGCTTCTTATTGGGGCATTTGTGTTTCTTAAAAGAGTATAGGGTGCTCGATTTAACAGGGGAGTCAAGAAAAAGTTGATCAAGTAAAGCACAAACAGATGCAGCTGTTAATTCCACAAATTGACAAGCTCCAACAGCATCTTCTCAACCAAAACAAAATCACCTGACATCAAACAGCAAGTTAGCAGCCTTCATTTTCGGTCAATCGCTAATCTGTGGACCAGCCACGATTAAAGGCTAGATAGAGACCATCTTTAGATTCTACAGTAACAAAATGTGATTGCAACTCAAAACGCGGTGTAAACATGTTCAGAATTCAAAGAATCCATATGCTGTCTTTTTCAACAACAGCGATTAGAAATGAACTTAAAAACAAGTATGACATGGGCCATGTTAACAATATCATCCAGTATTCTACTCGTTTTCTATAAAAAAACAAGCTCACATTCAGTAAATTATCTCCTTCTGATCCCCATTGGTGCTACCGGATGTCAGTATCGCATGTGCTCAAAGTATTGTAGCTCTTTTTGCCTGGATGGTGTTCCACATTTTCATCATGACACTCTACCAAAACAGTGATGTTTCAATTAGAAAATTTCAACAATCGTTGTCAGCACTAATCTAGCAAGTTTACCACGTCCTTTTTTCCTGATTGACTAAAAGCAACAAGAAATCCATCCATCAATCATCCAATCAACAAGCATTACCTTATCGGATAGAGTTATCTTATCATAGCTAGATCAAGACACAAAACAAAAGCAAGTGCATAAACCGTTGAGCTATCTTTCTAAACCTTTCATTATCCTTTGGAAATACAATACTAAATACGTTATAGAATACAGATCCTGCCAAGACGCCCCCCTCCTCGTTTCTGATAGTATGAAACCCCCCAGTCTCTTCAGCACCTAGAGGAGCAGTTCCATCAAATGCATATGCTTCAAGGATGTTACAACCAAGTGAGAGCCATGAGAGACCTCGAGTGCTCCATAATTACTAAAATTGAATAAGCACAAGTCAGCCTCCAGTTTCCAGTTCAGTACTTCCATCTGGGGTCTGCGTGCAAGTTGTAGGCCAACTTTCCTCACTTTTGTAGGAAGAGGCATGTCATCACAAATAATAATCCACCCACCACTCTGGGCTGTGATAAAACCTAACTGAAGCAAACTAAAATTTAGGGGCTCACCTAGTTGAGCTTAAACAAACTCACATGCCAGAAAAGGACAGCTGGAGAGTTTTTGAGCCATCAATGATATATAGACTACGCGGCCTTTGCATCAGCCCCCATTGATTTTGAGCCCCAAAAGATACATGCACCATCGTTCTGGGCCTTCTCATCAGCATTAGTGGGCGCAAGAAGACTCTCGAACATAAGCAGATTTAAACGTGGACAATACTAGATTTTTTTTCTCTGTGTTACGCTGTGGATTAGATAAAGTATATAAAATTATTTAAAAAATTATTTTAATTTGATAGTCTGTTTATGATATAAATCTTTAAAAATATATAAAATCAAAGATGAATAAAAAATTTTGTATTTAATTATTTCTTATTTGTGTTTTTATAATTTTTTCTTTAGAAAAATGATTTATCCTTATTAATCCATGATTTATTAACTAAAAAGAAAATTAAATAATTTTTTTAAAAATAACCTTTTTATTTCATAAAATTGTGTCGCAAAACAAAAAAGTAACAATTATTAAAAGCTTACATAGAATTAAACAAATAAATTTTTTATTTTTATTTCATGTTGATGAGAATATCGATTTTTGAAAAAAAAGTGAATTCAATTTTTATATATTTATTTACAACAGAATGAATAATATTCAAATAAATCAAAATTGTTAATAAACATGATTTTAAATTAATTGGATGAGAATTTAAAAAAGAAAAGACAAATTAAATAAAAAATTTTTTATAAAACTTTAATATTTCATAAGATTGTGTCAAAAAACAAAAATAATAATTATTAAAAGCTCACATAGAATTAAACAAATAATTTTTTTATTTTTTTTAATGTTGATGAGATTATCGATTTTTTAAAAAAAATATTAATTTAATTTTTATATATTTATTTACAAAAGAATGAATAATATTAAAATAAATCAAAACTGTCATTAAATGTAATTTTAAATTAATTGGATGAGAAATTGAAAAAAAATTATAAATTAAAGTAATAAATTTTAAATAATAAAAATAATCAACAAAAAACACTAAAACAAAATGAAATCAAATCACAATACAATAAAGTTTAAAATAAAAAAAAATTATATATAAAATTTGAAGACCATATAATTTTAAATTAATTGAATGAGAATTTTTTTAAAAATGACAAATTAAAATACAAAATTTTAAATAATAAAAATAATTAACAAAAAAAATGAAACAAAATAGGATCAAATTACAATAAAAGTAAAGTTTGAAATTAAAAAAATATATATATAAAAAAATTGAGGACCAAAGTGTAAAAAAGTCATAATTAGTGAAAAAAATAATGATTTGTGAGTGAATAGTTAAAAACGCTAAAACAAAATAGGACCAAATCACAATACAATTAAAATTAAAAATTAAAAAAAATATAAAAAAAAATTGAAGACCAAAGTATAAAAAAAATCATAAATAATAAAAAGAATAATAATTTGTGAATGTGTAAATAGTACAATATATATATGTGAATAATATTTAAAACAGTAAACATACGTTTTGTTTTAGTTTTAGTTTGTTTTATAATTATAATAATAATATGGTCGCTTCTATTGTGTGGGAATCCAAAATTTTACTCGGACAACTCAAGACTAAATCTAGGTCCAACAAAACCACATCCACCAATCACAGTATGATATTATTGTGGTGAACAACAATTGCATTCAATTGATATTGAGGAGATTACAGAATCATATTTAATGCCAAAGACCAATGAACTGTACAAATTGAGACAAAAAGCAGTGCCACAAATTAGTTGGCTAAATGACAATAGCCAGCAGCACATTCCAGTATTCTATGCGTTCAGTTAACTCGCATCAATCATCTTAGAATTCCGAGGCTTCGCATCAGAGAGAGTGATGATACCTTGAATATGGATCTGGCATCAAGATAAATTTAGAAAGGTCCATCCGATGTGTTGCATCTCCCGTGCCTTGCATTGCAAGCACTTAGCTCGTACATTGACCAGATTTCTGATAAAGAAAGGTGCTGCAGGTAGGAAAATTAGGCTTGTTTAACAAATGTGTATTAGTAGTCACATTTTAGCTAGTTAATGAATCTAAACACTGATTCGAATAAGTTATATTAATGTGCATCTTTAAGGAAAAAAAGTTAACCAATGAAAAACAATATACTGATTAATTAAGGGGGCGTGCAGTGCAGGTAACCTTCCATGCAGTTTATGTTGAGATGATACTCTGTAATCATTCTACATTCACATTTCCCTATGCACCAGTAAATGGCCCATCAAATACACTAAACTACGTCATTCTACCGCTTGTTCAACCAATCCCTGTACACTATAAAAGTAAATTAAAAGAGATTCGCAGAGTTGGTATTTCCTGGAGAGAGACTTGAGAATAAACAGAATAGACAAAAGTTGACACCGATCGGGATGGCTAAGCCAAAGACTAGTGGGAGGTGACAGTGTTTAGGAAGTCCAAAATAAACTCAAGCATTGACTTGAATAACACAAAAGTTATCTTTATGGAATGAACTGCCCTTGCTTTTGCTTTGCGAAGCAAGATGAAAATGCTATTCCTAATCCGGTTTATCAGTTCTGTAGACCTGGAGATCTAGTGACGCTAACTTACATACCTTCCTCAAAAAATCTTAACTTACAATGCTAACTTTATCAGTTACATTTGTGCAGCATTGTCGATCTACGGTCATAATTTCCCCTGTCCCTAGGACTACAATTGCACAACATAAACCCAAATTTTCTAATGCCTAATCATTTTCCAAGCAAAAATCCAGCCAGTTTACCACATTTCAGTAGCAAGCCAGCCAACAAATATTCATATCCTCGTCCAGCATCACAAATCCAATATAAAATAAACTCTTGCACTAGTGCATGACCATATTGGACATGAAGATACGTGGGACAAAGCAGAAGAACCAGAGAAAAAAACTCAGCAAGCAAGTCAATGTCTTTCATGACCTTAGAATTCAATGGGTCTTGACAACGTAAGGACAACAACATATGCCTTGATCAAGTCATGAATAACAAATAACGCAGAAGCGACAGATCCCACGGATCATCGTCCAACTTAGATCAAACTACACTTGTACAAATAGGTACATCCTCGAAAAGGTCAGCGATAGCTTCATTCCTTATTTGAGGCACAGTCCATCATCTACTTATATTTACTATCAGAATCAAAACTTTTTAAGGTTCATTTGTTTGAATTTTATAAATCTTTGAATACCACAAAACTGATTACATTACACTAAACAAAACTTGCCAAATGATGATCAATTCTATCAACAAAAATTCAACTTAATTAATGTGAATGCTCAATTCCAATTCTTAAGCTAATACCCGTCATCAATTTTTATACCAAATCGCATAGCCAATGATAGACAACAAAGAGTAGAGTTTCAAGCTTTACCAGAAAATATCCTCAAACCTCAAAACCCGAAACGCGAAAACCCCTTCAATTACCCCTAAACAAAGCCCTGCAAAAACATCAAAAAAATAATGCCTCCCTAACAAAACCCTAGAAACCGCCGTAACAACCGCCCAAACACAAACTCCCACCACCACAACCTTCACCAGCTTCCCCTCCTCCCCCACCCACCTTCCACAGACTCCACCTTTATCCCTCACCTCCACAACCGCTGCCTCAATCACCTCCTTGTAGAGAAAAACCAACGCAGCAACAAAGGAAACACGAGAGGAATGGCCACTAGGGAAGGAGAAGTGATCGGCGGAGACAGGGGTGGACATGGAGGAGAGGTGGTTATACGGAGGGCGGGGACGGCGGAAGAGGATTTTGATAAGACCAACGGCGGCTAGGTCGAGGAGGAGACCAAGGAGGAGAGAGGAAATGAAAGGGAGGAGGGAAGGGAAGGAAAGGGTAAACAAAATGGAGAGGGAAATTGGGAAGGAGAAGCGGAAGTCAGCGGAAATTTCTAGGATGAGGAGAAAGAATAGTGGGAGTAGAGTATGGAATTTGGAGTGGAGATAGTGGGAGAATTTTGTGTCCAAAGTTAGGATTTTTTGGAGGAATGTTGATGGTGGTTTCGCTATTGACATGGCGGAGTTGGTGGTGGAGGCAGCGAAGGCCTACAGGGTGGTTAGGAAATGAGCATATGAAAAGGCGTCGTTTGGAGAAAATAAGAGCCAAGTGTATGTGATTTGGACTTTATTAGTAAGAAAATGGGCTACTAAGGTTACTGTTTTTAGAATGGCTTTTAACTTTTTCGTGGCGGATTGGGCTCAACAATGAGTCTTTATAATGGGCCTTCTTAGCTATTTTACTCCTTCAATACTGGGTTGGGAAAACAGTGGGCTAATGGGGAAATGTTTGCATGGATGAATATGAGGACACAAGAGATATTTGCCTCAAATATATTTGTGCAAGAAATGGACAACGAAGTGTTCAATTATGAGAATAGAATGGTTTTACGAGGCAAATAATGAGGCAGAAAATGAGAGTATGAGTGGAATTTGTTGCCCATGGAAGACAAAACATGATTCAAAAACACCTATAGTACCGAGATCGCGGTTAAATTAAATATGCTGGTGTTAGGGCCAAATAGGATCTGCCGGCTTGGGAGGAAAAACATGTCAGGAATCGAATTTTGATCATGTGCAATTAATAATACCTATGCTTAAACATCACATAATTAGGTAATGCATGTTTTGAAAGTGTTTCAATCAGTGGACGGCTTTCGAGAAAACAATAGAGGTCCATTTTCACTTCTTTTTCTTAAATGATCCCTTCTGGTGCTGACTCCCGTTTTATAATTTGCCCATTTGCCAACAATTATTAATAGAGCTTCACCATAAAACGGCTGTCTTCCATTCAGACCAAATTACCCTGTAAAAATCTCTTATAGCTGCTTAAAACTTCCTGCTGCCATTAAATAGATTAAAAGATCTTGGGTTCGTCAAATCATGCATTCCTGCTGTACTGTGTACGTGTATATACCATAAGAAGAGAAAGCCTCCTTGGCATCACAAAATGGTAACAACAAAATTTTTCAATTCAGTTTCCCTATAGAATTTGCTCAAATTCAGAGAGCTCAAAATCGACCAACCACCAACGCAGTTACCAAACACACAGGTTTCAACGTATAGACCAATGGAGTAAGGGTCCAAATCTGTACCCAATTTGTTTTAAAACCCACCATCATTCGTATCTTACAGTGGATAGAAGATCCAAAATGGTGTAGGGCAGATCGAGGGTGAATGTCATGGACGTGACAGAAGGTCTAAGCGGGGACCAACCTCTTGAAATGGGCCCTACAAATAGCAGTTTTTCATGCCCGCCCAACCTTCCCTTGAAATCACATGATCGATCATAGTCCTTTCTTTATCACTCCTGTTCCCATTTGGACAGTCAAAGACAAATTGATCTGATTCATCCGATAATCACTCCTCAACTGATCAAGAATTTTTGTTGCTTCTTGGCCTTCCTGACCTGCCCCACTGTCTTCTTCTTTTTTCTTTCATGGTTACTAATCAATTCACGAGCATAAATAAACTTAATTTAACTTATGTGTATTTAATAATTTATTGAAAATAAGGTTTGAATTTTAGTAATTCTAAATTTGTTTTGGTAATTATATAATGAAATAGACTACCTCTGTTTGTGTAGCTCAAAGGCCTATACACCTCTAATGAATAAAATAATAATGATAATAATCAATTCATAGCGTTAAGTACCTTTTTTAGGGGTAAATACATTATTAGCACATCAATTCTATATTTTTTCTCAATCGAGTATATGAATTTAACTTCTTTTAAATATATTGATTTTTCTAAAACTTTCAATTAAATACTTTCATCCATATTTATTTAATTGTTTTTTTTTTTTTTACACTGAAGGAAAATTGCAATACTGGTACACCAATTTTCAGTTTTTCTCAACCAAGTATATGAATCTTAATTCTATTTTGGTACACCGAACTTTTCAATTATGCCAATCTAGTACTTTTGTATAAAAATCGTTAACTTTTTCTATTTATTTTTCAATCAAGTGATATCTATTTATTTGGATAAAATAATAAATATTTTAATTATATTAATAATTAATTTATTAGTTTTAAATAATCACAAATTAGTTTTTAGGTTTGGTGGAATTTAAACAACTTGCTATTAATTGATGGAGTTATCTTTAAAGGATTTATTTTAATTTAAAATATTTTTGTTTATTAAATATAATTTTATTTTAGAGAGTATTTTTACCAAATAAAAAACAAATTAGAAAATAAAAAATTGATAAAAGTACTTGATCAGCATAATAAAAAAGTGAATATACCAAAATGATAAAAATTAAAACCTAAGTACTTGATTGAGATAAAATGAAAGTTTGTGTATTGACAAAAGACTAAGGTCAAATAACACATTTATCAAAGGTAGACAAAAATTTTAATAAATTTTTTTGATATATTCAAATAAAAATAATGAAAATAAGAGAAAAAAAAAGTAATATTGGTGTACTTTTAATGTAATGAATACATTCTTGTTATTTTTGTAGCCTCGAATTCTTATTCCAAATACTATTCATCCATACTCATTTTCATTGTTCATCCAAATTCATATGCATTATTCATTTCAATATATTATTATAGTTTCAAACTTTTTAAATATATTTATTATGAAATTTTTTGTGATATTACAATTTGATCCATCTTTTTTAAATATTATTTTTTTAATCAATAATTATTATTTTTTGTTTCATTTTGGTCCCTGCATGCTAAGTGGAGATAGAAAAGGAGGGAGAGAGAAAAGGCTGAAGAGGCCAATTCCGACCACTCCAACATTCAAGCATGCCACTATTTTATTCATCTCGAATATTAGAATTCATTTTTGGTGGTGACAAGCAATGAAATGGTCGGAGGAGGTAGATCGAGATCTGAAATATATATATATATTTTTTTTATTTATTTTTTATGTGCTTTGTGAGTATTAAAATGAGTTTTGAGATTCTAAACAAGTTTTATCACATTATTTATGTTATTTTAACATGTTTTTAGATAAAAACGGAGTTGAAATTAGTTTTGGGTGGTCGAAAATTAAGAATTTCAATTTTTTTTTTTTTGTTAGATTTTAAACGAAATAAACCTCATTGAAAATTCCAACGACAATCTATAAAACAAAAATAATATTTTTGTTTTTATGCACAAGCTCACATGGGCCTGGTCCTTCAAGTCCAAGAGCGCGAACTTGTTGCTCCAGGCCCAAGCATGCAAGCTTAGTCTTTGCTTTTTTACTTTCTTTCTAATTTTTTAATTAAAAATTTTTACATAAAAAGATTTTCAAAAATAAGTTTTTATGAAAAAATTCATTGATTTTGATTTTTTTATATTATTATAATTTTTTTTAGTTAAAAATATGAATAGAGATAAATAAATAATTATCAAAATTTTATAAAAATATATAAATAATAATTAATCAAATGTAAGTTTTAATTAAAAAATTAAAAAAATAAATTAATTTTGATTTAATATATTTTGACATAACACGAGCTATTCAATTAAAATAACTTTTAAAAAATAACACGAGTTATTCAATAAAAATAATTTTAAGTGTTTTATGTCAATAGCATTACGTGCCTAGTGCATACGTAAGGACAATGAAATGCTACCAAGGGGTCACATCTTGCTCAGAAAAATCGTGGGGTATGAAACGGTAAAAATTGGATGATAACGAGGCATGGAAGGGAAAGTCCCAAAGCGGCATTTATGAGGGTTTGAATGACAGACAGTAGTAGATCAAGGTGGTGCAAGAAATAATGTGTCTGATTTATGAGGCTAAAGGAACGAGGGAGGTATGAGTGCTTCTAAGTCATTTTGCATTAGTTGTCCTAAAAGAGCATTGATTATTTCCATGGCTCGAAGTTGCTCAAAATATGTGTATATCAAGTACCAGCCCCCTCAGTCAATTTAAGCCTCTGAATATCTTCTACTTATCGAACCTTCCAAACAAATAATAAAGTCATTGTTTTCTGCCACCACAGATGTGAGTTTATAGTGCTTTCAGAAAAAAAGAAAAAAAACAAAACAAAAAAAAAAACAAAACTCACCCACTTATAAACTTGTTCTTTTTCTCAATGATTCTTTAAACAATGAGAATACAACAATGAGAAAACAAAACTCACCCTTTAAGGTACAACTTATTTTTACATAGCATGCTGGAATTAATAGCGAACTTGACTCTTACAGTGATTTTTCATTGGCGTAGGCCAGAACAAGAGAGTGCATCGGTACGTAAAAGCAAACCACACAAGTCCCCACCATGGCACAAAGTTCCTAGGTAAAATCATTCAGGTCCGTAAAGTTTAGAAACGAAACCTAGAAGGTTAGAACTGATGGAAAAATCACAAAATCAGTTTTATTAGAATTTTATAGATTACTATCTCAAGATATAATTAAATTACTTTTTTGAGACGACGTGTGTCGTTTATAGAATTTATCTGATGTAATAGTTTTATTAGGAATACAACAAGCTTAATCATCACATTGTATACTACTTTTAATACTTAAAACTTTGTAAAAAAATAATAATAATAACATCACCGTTACCTAAAGAAAATTTATCAAAATAACTTGGTTTTTTAAATGGGAGAATAAATGTAATAACCTGACCTAAAAATGATATTTAGGTTTGCAAAAAATCAAGCTGAGTATAAAAGGGGGATAACTAGCTGTCCCTCTCCATTTTTCTTTCTTTTTCCTTTCCCTTCTCACGCAGACTTTCTCTCTAATTTTCTTCAATCTGTCTCTTTCAATCTCTAAGTTAAAACCTTGTTAAATTAGCTTAAAAAAAACTATAAACAAGTTGATTTAAATGGAGCTTAACTGCATTAAAGCTTGAAAAGCTTTGAGGGTTAGGATTATTTGGGCGTTGAAGAATCAATTGTCAAAGGTAAGAAATATGATCATTTGATCTTTAAATTGTGATATTTATATGTAGTTATTAATGACATTAAAGTTGAATTGCATTAGGTTTGTTGTTTGGATGAAGAACTAAGATAAATTGATGTTAGGGTTTTGAGACCCATTTAAAGAAAAGTTGATTAAGTGATT